TGGGGCAGAGGCTTCAGCCCCTCGGGTCCCAGGTTCGAACCCGCCTGCTGCCAAGGGCTTGACAAGGTAGGGATGGGACAGTGTGATCAATGAACCCATCAGCCAGAGCGTGTAGGTTCATGCTATAGACCACGCACATGTACCTCCCCCTTGCCACTCAGTTTTTTAGCAGGCTGGCCAGCCGCCTGGCTCAGTCCCGGCTTGCGATGGGTCCGGGACCTATCCCTGCTGTGGCTCTGCATTTAAAATGTATTAGGAGACGGGCAGGTAGGCAGCTTGGCTCAGTTCTGGCTCGTGCCGTGTCCGGGAGCTCAGACACCCCACCCTTCCCCTCAGACATTGGTCCTGCCTAGAGCAGGGGGCTGGACTTGATGACCTTCTGAGGTCTCTTCCAGCTCTATGGTTCTATGACAAGGGCTACTGCCACTCTGCACTGCTGCCTCTTTATCAGAGGCAGCAGTGCAGGGTTTTTAAAGTCGCTTCCCTTGGGACCAACTCCTGCCTGGCACCCTGCGCTGCTGCCTCTGATACAGCAGCGTGGAGTAGCAGGGGGAAACTCCGGAGTGAAGTCAGCTCTCACAGGTTGCTGGCCCTGCACCTGGGGACTATAGAATAGTCTGTACGAATTCATGAGGTTACTTGACTAATCAATTAACTGATATTTTAACATCCCTATTACAAGGGGGGTAAGGCTTATCTGGGATGAGCTGCTGGAAGGTCTCTGAAGCTTGTGACACCAGCTGAAGGAAGTATGTAACCCAGAGGCCCTGAGACAGGGAGAGTCGCTTTCCCTTTCTCAGGGGTCTCGGTGCCTCTGCGTTACACATGTATTGAGTAAAAAAAACAATATGCCAAAAAAGCTAAGTAGCCCAAAGCCATGTGGGCAGTGCCTGGAAGGGCAGTGATGCCTTCAGCTGTATGATCTGCCTGTCAGGAATACAGCCCAGCCAGTTCAGGGAGGAAGTATCTGCCAGTCACCTGACTCTAGATCTCAATGTAAACTGCTGTTGGAGGAGTTGTAGTGAATTTCCAGAGCCAAGACTCCAGTTGGGCTCTGTGTGGGATGGCTGATTGGTGAAGAGGAATGTCATTTGTGTGAGCAAAGCCATCATTTCTATAGGCAAAGTTTTGTTAATTCCTAGACTCTCAAAGTTTTGTTCAGTCTTAAATACTACAGACTAAATTCACAATTCCAGTGAAGTTGCATTTAATTTCCCCAGAAGAGGATTTGGGCTGAAATGTCTTAACATATTTTAAGGTACCACATTTTCTTTTACCATAGCCCCGCAGCATGGAGCCCCAGATAAATCTCAGTGTGACTTTTAGTGGTGAGACCCAGAGTTTCCTGGTTTCAAATTCATCAAACACAACCTGGGCTGATGTGGAAGCCATGGTGAGTTTTGTGATTGTATTGATGAGTTTGCTATACTATCCTGCCTCTTTCCAAATTTCATAAAAATCTAGGAGTGAAAGAACATTTATTTTTAATATAGTCAATTGTATTTCTTTTGAGAAAAGCAAATTAGTGGGAATGTTAAAATAGATCATTGCCACAGTGAAGAACTTAAACACAAGATCCTCTAAACTTCGTTAAGCTAGTAGCTACATATATTCTACATATTTTTGCTGGTGCTGCTATGTTAGTCCAAGGCAGTGACGGGAAACCTAGGCTAGTAAGAGGGCTGCATAAGTGGCCCTCCTTCATTTCAGTGGGTCACAAGATTGTCATAACCAAGACAGTCTCTCAGGATAGGATAGTTTTGCTAACTCTGCTTGTGTACCTAGAATTTGCGGAGGGGGGAGTATCGATTGGGTAGTAGAAGCACTTCGATTGGATGCAGAAGGCGCGCACAGCTCTCACAATGTTGTGTGCAATCCGTATGCACCTCGTTTCACCTGCCTTTGCTTAAGTGCATGACACTTTTATAATACTGGTAGGAAAAAAAACTGCACAGATGAAAACCAGCAGAGTCTGGCAACCCTGTGCATGAGCAATGGTAAACCAAATGTCTCATGTGCCACACATAGAACCCCAGTGGGCCACAGGTTGCCCACCACTTGTCCAAGGTACGAAGAGAAATATTTTGACTAATGTAAATGGGTCCATAGAAGCCCCTAGTAAAACTCCCTAGTCTTGGGAGTCCTAATCATGTTGATGTCTGTGTTTTCATAGCATCATAGGTCTGGAAGAAACCTCAGGAGGTCATCGAGTCCAACCCCCTGCCCAAAGCAGGACCAACCCTAACTAAATCATCCCAGTCAGGGTTTTGTCAAGCTGGTACTTAAAAACCTCTACGGCTTCTTCATCTCTCTCAATCTTGTCAGTCTGTCCCCTTTTTACCCTTGATGTTTTCTAGAATTGGTTGCAACTCACTAGTTCTGGGGTGAAATATTATTTTGTGAAAGTTTGATTTTTTTTTTTTTCATTTGGCTTGTCTGAAAGTAAGAGGTAGGTCTTAGAGTCTCCATATCCTGTTCTTTTCCACACCACTAACAATTACGAAGGTCTCAAACTTAAGGCTTTTTTCACCCTCAAATGCAATGGCAAGTCCTCAGCCTGTTAATTCCCCTCCCATTCCCCTCCCCATCAAAATAGATCTAGGGAAACGATGGGTCTCTGTTTTGACTGACTGGTTCTCCTGACACTTATCTTTGTTCTGAGGTGCAGTGGAATTGCCTACATAAGAGTTATCAGCTTCTTGTTATGTTGGTGTTTTTATATACAGGTTTGTCCTTTGGATGCAAATATTTATCTTGCATATAAACTGTGTGTGTAAACTTGTGCCAATCTGTATATCCTGTTAGGCGGCTGGTAACTGACAAGTGTTAGTTTGGATTTGCATTTCCAACACTTTCTAGCTAAACTCCTTCATTGGGACAGCTCTCTGAGGGAGTTCACAATACCCTTAGACACAGTAGGAATAATGCACTGAATTCCTTTCCACCTGCAATCACCCTCCATCTTTTTCCTGTTTCTGTTTTGTTTCTTCTGTTAATACTCTCACAAAGCTGCATCTTGACAGAAAGGGCAGTTATCAGTTTATACCTCTGCTTCCCATTACTTTCGAAGACTTGGCAGTTATCTTCAATAGGGCCCTGCTTCACAGCTCTCATCCTTGTATTCAGGAACTCAGTAGCACTCCCTTGAGAACTTCACTTCAATCTTCTGGAAGGCATTGTAGCTCAGATTCTCACGAGAAGCCAGTCAGATATCCTTTTTTCCCCTTCTAAAAACAAGGCCATTGGCTCTGTAATCCTATCTCCTACTCACACAGGGAGTGAGGGATATGAGCCAACTGCAGCACTTCCTATAGCTGTGTGAGTGCTGGGGTGGATGCTCCAAAACTTTCAGTGCTGCAGTTTCTCAATGGAGAACTCTGCAGGTAATGTAAAACAGTATGGCAACTATAAACCTGCAGTGAGGGATTCTATCAGGAGTGCTGAGATGACTTTCTAAAGGTGCTGATTCTGGGCTGTATTATTGAGGCAACTGCATTTATTGTCCTGGTCCGCTACACTAATTGCTGTTATTTCTCTGGGGCGTTGCTCATTTCTCAGGAATCTACTGCAAAGAAACTCTGCTTTCGCTTGTCTTCCATCCCCACTGGTTGTCTCTGCTAGGTTTAGAATTGCAGAAACCTGGTCCTTATGTAATTATTCCTTGTGTCAGGGGGAAGGATTAGAATCTGCTTCAGGAAAGAAAAGCATTGTTTCCATATGTAAATTTCATAATTGTGGAAACGTACAAGCGCCTCAAAGACTTATCACACTAGAAAACATTTGCCTGTGTTTATGGCTCATTTGGAGCCTTTCTGGATCGTCTGCTAGTGCAAAATATAGAAAGGTTCCATCAGACTCTTTTCCTGAATCTGAAAAATTTGAAGTTAGAGTTTCTGTGTGGTCCCACTGTGCAGATGATCAGGCAGTGGGTGCTGTAGAAGTAAGGAGCTTTAATTCTGGTGTTTCTGTATCTGGAAACCCAAGGGACAATGAAGCAGTTATGTGAAATAAAGGCTCCTCACATGAGTAAACTGTCTTTTGATGGCTTGTTTGTGTAAAAGTGCAGGTGCTTAAGAATGGTTTGCCTCAGCCTCTCTTTATTGCAGGGTATTTATACAGAATAGGATAATTAACGCTGTGTAAATCCCTTTTCAGGGGAAAGGTTGCTAAATGAATCTTGGTTTTAGGTGCATATTAACTAAGGAACACAAGGGATCAAAGGGAAGTATGGCCCTTGATCCTGATGAGGCAGGGAAGGGGGGGAAGAGGAAGAAAATGAATGAATGTAACTTGACTGCAGAAAAATGGGATTTCATAAACTTAATTGTTCTCAAACGACAGACAGTGGGAAAGGAGAGAGTTAAACCATCTCCTCTATAATAATAATGACTAGCTAAGAACTACCACGTTCCTGTCTCACTCTGTATTTATTTTTATTTGCAGGTGAAAGTTTCATTTGATCTAAACAACATTCAGATCAAATACGTGGATGAGGACAATGATGAGGTACTTATGTTAATGATTCCAGTTGTGTGCTCCCCCCCAAAATTAGTGTGAGGCCACCAACTAATTGATGGTTTGTCATTGGTCATTCAGGTAAATGGTTTGTGTTTGACAGGTCAGAGTTAACTTTCTTTGCCACTCTGCAGCGCCACCTATAGGATTCACTTGGCTGGTTCCCCTCTTAAAAAAAGATGGAAAGCTGGTGTCCTGTTGCCATCTTCCATAGCCTTATGAAAATCGGTCGTAGTCCCGCCCTCTTGTGTGGTGGGATGCTCCTGTTCTCAGCCACTGCAAAGCAAGCTCCTTTGCTCCTGCAGTTTCTTGTGGAAAACTTAGGTCTGTTTGTATGATGTGGCAAGTTCAAATTCTTTGAATGTTTTGTTCAGACTCCATGATCTCTGTGAAGTGATGCTTCCCTTCTGAGGGAGTAAGTTGCCCACTTGTAATTGTTCTTTTTGGGTGACTACCTGCACAGCATTACCTGACCCACTCACTGTTTTTCAGTGTGTAGTTAGAGGGTTAGTTCACAGTTCCACTCGGATAGCTCCTGAACACTGCCCATTGGATAGCTCCTAGCGCTTGTATGCATTGTGGGGGAAGTAAATGCTTTTGGAAGCTTTAAGTGAGCACCCTTTTTGGTACTTTAGACAACAGATCAGTATTGTGTGGGCTCCAGAAAAGGATTACAGGAAGAGTCTCTGTTTAGGTTTTAAGGCACTCTTCTGAAGACTAGGTGCTCTCTTTGTTAAACTTCATTCAGAAATGCTAACTGATGACTCATTGCCCAGAATCAACAGTGTAGTGACGAAATAGGATCTATCTTGTGCAACAGATTAGTATCTTTTCTGTGCATACTTACTAATCGGACAAACTGTAGGAGATGGGGCTGGCTTGTGTCTAAATCAGTTGAGCATTACACATTGAAAAGTAATAAATTAGAATCTACAGGCAGTCCCCGGGTTACGTACAAGATAGGGACTGTAGATTTGTTCTTAAGTTGAATTTGTATGTAAGTCGGAACTGGTACATATTGTAGGAGAAACTCTAGCCAAGCATTTCTCCAGAGCTCAGTTTTATTCTCCCACACCTCACTTCCCTCAGTCCTTTATTCTCAAGCTGAGGTGTCTGCTGAGAAAAGCCGCTCCACGTCTCCCTGGTCTGCTGGGAGGAGTGCTAGCTTTGCGTCTCCCTGGTCTGCTGGGGGGAAGCAGCTAGTGCGGGGTTGCCTCACCCCGTTTGTAAGTAGGGATCTGATGTAAGTCGGATCCATGTAACCCGGGGACTGCCTGTACTTTGTAATTGGGTCACTGACAGAAACAAAGGCATTGATGAAATCTTCTTCAACTTGCTTTTAGTAAACAGGATTGTGTGTTTTGTGTTCTAATAGTGCCTCAAATGCCTCAGTTGGGGATTGATACACAAATCTAATAAGAGCCAAAGAGTGTACAATCTCAGTTAATAACAAGATGCAGCAGGATGAAATAACACCTGGGTGGAGGTAAGGATGGGGTAAGAGAAGTAAGACAACGTTTCTGAAAGTCTGAATAAGGAATAATTTTATTGAAAGTAAATTTTCAAATATTGGAGCATATGGGAAGTAGTTATAGGAAATTTTAATGATGTGGTTGGCCTTTGCTCACTATAATTTCTCTTCACAGGTCTCTGTCAATAGTGAAGGTAAGTTATTGCTTTATTTTTTCATGTTTGGTTTGTTGTTTGGTTTGTTATTTTCAGTAAAGTAATAGCACTGCTTAGATTTCTGGGGAAATGTGGCATTGCTTAGGCAGTGCCAAGGCATGGCATCTCCCTGGTGAAGTGGGAGGATCTGCTTCTGAAAATCTGTAGCACTGCTATTTTTAAGAATCCCCTTTTAACCATCCTTCCTTCTGTTGCCCCCTGGCTTATTACTGGCTGGCTCTATGTAGAGAGAGGGTTTTTAAATTGTGGCTATTAAAAAGCTTATGGAAATGTGGCATTGCTTAGGCAGTGCCAAGGCATGGCATCTCCCTGGTGAAGTGGGAGGATCTGCTTCTGAAAATCTGTAGCACTGCTATTTTTAAGAATCCCCTTTTAACCATCCTTCCTTCTGTTGCCCCCTGGCTTATTACTGGCTGGCTCTATGTAGAGAGAGGGTTTTTAAATTGTGGCTATTAAAAAGCTTATGGTTGGGTGCTGGCTGCTGATGATCATATTTCTCCCTCGACCTCTTCACAAATGAAGGGATGTTTGGTTCATCAAGGTTGCCAGTGTCTTGAACTTCTGCAGTGGAGGGTCCTGATGCTCAGGTCTTCTGGGGAGTTGTAAGATATTTGTTGTTGTCCATTGGCTCATTATGAAAAATGGGTAGAAATGAAGGGAGGACTTGTCGGGCTGCACATGTTAAGGATGTAAACCTGCCATTTAAAAAGTTATCAGGTTAAACATTATGTTTAAGTGGTTAACCATGGAGCAACCCTCCACTCATGGCGTCCGGGCAGCATGTACCACTGGCTACTCTGGCCAGGCCAGTCTGGGAGGGGAGCTGCTCCAGCCCCATTGGGCTGGAACACCCCCCACCTGTGCTGTGGGATGGCGGGCCTAGCCGGACTGAAGCAGCCTCCCACCTGTATCACGCTGTAGGTGGAAGGCTAGTTAACTGGTTACTGGTAAACATCACCCAGTAAGGATGATGCTTACTGGTAACTAGTTAACCGGTTATATCTTTACATCCCTAATGTGCATATACTTTCTTCTGTGCTACTTTTGCAAATTGGAGAAGGCTCTTTAAATGCTACTGAGTCCCTGAGAGAGCCCTCACTTCATAACACAGGATCCCAAGTATCAGATGCTGAATGAATGCCCCCATGTTATGTCTGAGACATGGAAATATTCACACACTTTTTTTTCTTTTAGAGGAATATGAAGAAGCTCTGAAGGTAACTGATCCTGTACCCTTTCTAATATCTTCAAAAAAATCTCTATAATGGAAATCCAGGTAGTGTGGGATTTCTCAGGCTATCTGGCATGTGGGAAATCAGAACAGCGTGGTTGTAAATTGTCTAACTTCAGACACTAGTTTGAAGGCTTCATCAGAATAATTCTTCCAGGCCAGAATATTGTTCCCCTGGCTTTCCAAATGTTTTGAATCTTGAACAACAAAACAATATTCAGATAATGTAAAAAGGACTCACTCCTATGCGTGGTGTTCCACACTCTTAAAGGCCTTATTACATACATGCTCCAGTCCTGCATTCCTGAGTAATGTAAACTACAGTGGTGGCAAGCTCAGCTGCTTAATCTAAGGTTGAATTCTCCGTTATATCACTTTCTATGTAACTAGCAGACCAATCTTTTCACCACTTGTTTCAGTTTTTAATTTCTGTTCTGGAACTAATGTTTAACTATTAAAGAACAAAAGAATTTTGAAGCAATCTTCTGTCTGCTCTAAAATTCTCCATAGTCCACCCTGTTTATCAGCTCAGATAAAACTGCTCTGCTGTGGTTTTAACAAAACTAACAGAAGCTCTGTCTTCTTTCCCTGCCATTTGTATTACGACTTTTTAATGATTTTATTTGGTGATTGAGACCAGCTGAGAGTCTGGCATGTCCCTTGCTTGTTTGGCTTTTCAGCCATGCCACTGTAGCATATGTGTCTGCTGGAAAGCTTGTTTGTTGCCTGTGAAATGGAGGAAATAGAAAGTGTGTGATCATGCACTGTTTACTTAGATTGCAGTTACACAAGGAAATCAGCTCCAAATGAAAGTGTACGAAGTCAACTCCCTTCCAAGTGAAACTCTGCATTCCTGTTCCACACAAGCATGTGAAAAAGCTGGGTCAGAAAAGCTGCCTATTCCCAAAGACGGAAAGAGACCCCTCTCTCACTATTCCATGCTTGCTCAGGCCTTGGGGCGGGATTTGAAGGCTGAAAGGGAGACCACAACACAGGTAGGATTCGGAGCTGTATTGTTTAAAACAAATGGTTACTAGAAGTAACACTTGCTAGTCTTTTACAGCAGGCTGGTAGTCAAAATTTTGCTTCTCAGTTGTACCTCTTCAAATCCACTGAAATCAGTGAAGTTGATTTGATGTAACCGAGGGGCGGGTTTTTTGGCCTGATACTAGGATGGAGTCTGTCGAGGACGAAGTCTTAAACATTAAAGGAGGTGTGATTATTACATTCCTAAAGCCTTGATTCCCTCTGTAATTCTCAGCTACAAACTAGCTGCTGTCAAGTAATTTTCTCTGTTTCAGGATAGAATTTAACATCTAAAGCTAATAGTGGAAGAAGCTTTCAGTAAGGTTGTAGCCTGATAACTTGGGCCGTGTCCAGACTCAGGGGTTTTTTCGGGAAAAGTAGCCTTTTCCCGAAAAAACTTCCCCTGCGTCCAGACTCAAGCCGCGTTCTTTCGAAATTATTTCGAAAGAACGCGGCTTTTCTTTCGATGGCGGTAAACCTCGTTTCACGAGGAAGAACGCCTTCCTTCGAAAGTTCCTCTTTCGAAGGAAGGCGTTCTTCAATGTAAAGAGGCCGTCTTCGAAAGAGAGCATCCAGACTCGCTGGGTGCTCTCTTTCGAAAAAGCGGCTTGCTTTTCAAAAGTACTGCTTGCAGTCTAGACGCTCTTTTTCGAAAGAGGCTTGCAGTCCAGACGCAGGTAGTGGCTTGCTTATGTTTTAGTAGGAGACTGAAACTCTTTATGGTGAAAGGTGCTTTAGGGGAGGAAGTTTTGAACTATCCTAACTACACATGGATAGAGAGGGGTGGGAGGTATTTATTTGGATTTTGGATTAAGCAGCAAAAACTTCAAGTTGATTAGAGATACATAATTTCTTTGTATGTATTTAAGGTTTGCAATTTATTTTTGGCTCTACAGCAAAAGCTAAATCATAATGAAGCTGAAGGGACCAATGAAAAGCCTCCAGAGTGGTTTACTAGCTACTTGGAATCCGTAAGTGTTTCCTTAGATCTTTGTCACCTCAAAGATTTGTGAGAGACACTGTTGGGGTGGGATTTTGTTTCTTACGAGTATAGGTTTGATTGCATCTGTGTGATGGGATGTGGAGCAGCCTCTGTTTAAGGGGAGTTCAGACTGCCCTCCATCTCCCCCTCCTTTCCTCCTCCCTCCCCCGCCCCAGACAGGAGCTGCTACTGCAAAGCAGCCTCTACCCTTGGCGCACCCAGGTTCGCCATGGACAGAGGCTGCTCTATGGGATGCCTAAACTTAATCGGTTAATCGTTTACTCCACTGTACACTAGCATTCCTACTAAATACACAAGCACACTGAAGAAATGAATAGCCAGGAATAATCAGCTATTGTCTTCCTGAAACTAATCCAAGTCATAATGATTTTTGTAATAATAGCACCACAAACTAAGCAACTCCTTTCATCTAAAGAAGTGAGTTGTGCCCACGAAAGCTCATGATACTATCTACATTTTTTTGTTAGTCTCTAAGGTGCTGCAGGACCATTTGAAGGTTTTTCAGTTACAGACTAATACGGTTGTCCTCTGGAGACTTTTAAGCAGCCCTTTAAAAAGAAGCTAACCAGTACTATTCAGAATAGGGGATGGTAAGAAAAGCCAGGACTCAGACATGTAAGGATCCTGTAAAACTGAAGGTGAAAACCTACTGGCTTTCTCGGAAGGTCCATGCAGATCCTGAGTGTAAAGAGAAATAGTTGATTCCCAGAGTTTCCTGGCCTGCCTTGGAAGCTGTGCCATAGAATGAATATGAGAATCTTCTCTTTGCTTTTCTCCTATAAACATGAAAGTGAGTGGTTTGGTAGTTTGTAAAATGCCACCTGAGTCTCTGAGGAGGGTGATAATCCACTGATTTCAGTTTGAAAGATGCCAGGAGAGGGAAAGGAATTAACATTGAACTTTCTGGCTTAAAACCTGGGAATATTGTGCCTATATGGACCAAAACCTAAAGTGGACCAGGCATGTGCCATTGGTGACCTTCTGCTTATCCTCAGTTCAGGGAACAAGTCGTTAAAGAAACTGTTGAGAAACTGGAACAAAAACTAAGTGAGAAGCTCATCCTTCATAATCAGCCCCCAGACTCCTCCAGCAGCTCCATTGCAACAGCAGACCCAGCGCCAGAGACCCAGTCAACGGACAGCAGCCAGTGTGACTGGCTAATATCCTGCAGCAACTGCCAAGCCCGGATAGTGGGGATCCGCTACCAGTGCAGGTACACTCTGATGGCACCTGGCTCATTAGGAAGAGTGACATTTCAGTGTTGCATGCCTGTAGACCAGAGGGTGGGCAAAAGCTTCACAGTAGGCTGGATTCCACCTGCCGAGGGCTTTGATCTGGCCTGCAAGGCAGTTCCAAACCCTGCCCCTAGTATGTTGCCTTGGAGCGGGAGAAAGGCACAAGCTCTTCTAACTGCTTCTATTTAAAGGGCTTGTGATTTCCCCACGCCTTGCCTAGCAGCTGTGGGGAAGGAGAAAGTCCTGCAAATAGAAGTTGAAAGGGCTCGCGTCTTGGGCTGCCTAGCAACACGCTAGAAGCGCAGGGAGCTGAGAGCCCTTTTAAGTGCTTCTGTTTAAAGGGCTGGTGCCTTCCCTGCACCTGTCAGGCAACGCGTTACATAGCAGCCGTGGGGAAACAGCTGAAAGGGATCACGCGTCTATGCGCTAGAGGTGTGAAGAGCTGCATGCCCCTTCTGCCTGAGGCCCCGCCCCTTCCTCCCAAGGCCACTTCTGAAATTTGTGACATGCCCCCCGCCCCCCCCAGCCTCCCCACCTTCAAAAATGACTGCCCACCCCGGCTGTAGACTGTAGGAAGAGGAATTGTCGGCACTGTGGAAAAAAATCTCTAAAGTTTAAACCCACAGAGTGTGGTCCTGATCTCAGATGTGCCTGTGTGCATTGCTGCATGTCTTGTATAATCAGCAACTGTGTCAGCACACGTGCTTTTGGTGACTTGATAACTTTCTCAGTGGGCTGGGGGCCTTGATCTGAGATCCCAGTGTCTTTGGTAAATAGTTCTGTTTTTGTCCATGATTGGGTTACTAGTTCATTGCACATACTTTTCTCCCCTTCCTCTCTGCAGCCACAGCAGAATTCAAAGCACTAAATCCTGCATTAAGGTCACTTATGAGATCCTACAGATCTAAGTCAGTGGTTCCCAAACTTTTCGACATCATGCCTCCTTTTTTGATTTTTGAGAAACCCTCATGCCCCCCTCTCCCCAAAGCAGCAAAACTTGTTGAGCCAAAAAAAAGGGAACGGAGGAAAAAGGGAACAGCAAAAATTGGGGGGGGCTGGGTCCCCTCCCCTTCCCTCCCTCCCCCCGTGGGAATTTCTTCATGCCCCCTTCAGTTTGGGAACCCATGATCTAAGTGCTATGTGGTAACACAGCTCTCATAAAGGCAGCGGCCCTTTGAGGTCCTGCAAAAATAAATTCTTTGTTCTTCTGGCCTAAATAGCAACGGTAGCAGTTGACCTAGTTTAGTCTTGTGTATCTTTCCTCTGTCACTCAGAGCATGCAGTTTGAGACATTTCCATTAATCTCATTCCATCTGCATTATAGCCCTGGTAGGCTGCTGAAAGTTTTGGTGTCCTGTCCTCTACACTGTGTCATTCACTCTATTTTAGTATATTTTACAAAGAATTTTGCTTAGGTTTTTTTTACCCCATTTCACAGAACTATCCACAGCCTGTCACTCATGAGTTAAGTAACACATGTTTTAAGATGTGACAGTAAAGAGTCAATGACTCAATGTTTTGGATGGAGATGGGTTGGAAGGAATGTTCTTGATAAATGTGGCTGCATTAATAAGGGAGCCAGCTCATGTTCCACCCAGTTAATTTTGCCTAATATCCAGAGGTTCTGATACAGTGACTGCTTCTCAAGAGAAATGGGGATGTTACCCATATGAGGATTTCCTTTCCCAAACACACGTGTTCCTTTATTTGTTTTTAAACAACATGCTTGCCTCTGTTTCCTTTGCAGTGTGTGCCCAGCCTACAGTATTTGTGAACTATGTGAAGCAGGGACATATGAACATGATCCTAATCATGTCTTGTTGAAATTGCGGAGACCTGTTCTATGTGTGTCTGAGACGTACAGCATTGGGCAGTTCTCCCCTCGTCTCCCAGCTACTCTGGAGCAAGTTAGGTAAATACATAGCTGCTTCGGTTAGATGGTAGTGTTCTTCTGCTCTGCAGGAGGCAGTTTGAAAACACCTGTATTTTGGGGGTTTGTTTAGGTTTTTATGACTCCAGATATAGAAGAAAGCAGGAAGTGGAAATTATTTCCAGAATATGCATTAGATGGCTAAGCAGAGTAGAACGTCCGTGCCATGTTAAATCCAAGACTGTCTTAGACTCTTCAAGAATGGTATGAGGGAAATAGGATGAAGTTTAATAACGACAAATGCAAAGTGCTCCTCTTAGGAAGGAACAATCAGTTTCATACATACAGAATGGGAAGCGACTGTCTGGGAAGGAGTATGGCAGAAAGGGACTAGGGGTTATAGTGGACCACAAGTCGAATATGAGTCAGCAGTGTGATGCTGTTGCAAAGAAAGCAAACATGGCGGGGGGCTGGACTCGATGACCTCTTGAGGTCCCTTCCAGTCCTATTATTCTATGATTCTATGATTCTGGGATGCATTAACAGGTATGTTGTGAGCAAGACCCGAGAAGTCATTCTTCCGCTCTACTCTGCGCTGGTTAGGCCTCAGTTGGAGTATTGTGTCCAGTTCTGGGCACCGCATTTCAAGAAAGATATGGAGAAATTGGAGAGGGTCCAGAGAAGAGCAACGAGAATAATTAAAGGTCTAGAGAACATGACCTATGAGGGAAGACTGAAGGAATTGGGTTTGTTTAGTTTAGAAAAGAAAAGATTGAGGGGGGACATGATAGCAGTTTTCAGATATCTAAAAGGGTGTTACCAGGAGGAGGGAGAAAACGTGTTCATCTTGGCCTCTGAGGATAGAACAAGAAGCAATGGGCTTAAACTGCAGCAAGGGAGGTTTAGGTTGGATATTAGGAAAAAGTTCCTAACTGTCGGGGTAGTCAGACACTGGAATAAATTGTCCAGGGTGGTTGTGGAATCTCCTCCCCAGAAATATTTAAGAGTAGGTTAGATAAATGTCTATCAGGGATGGTCTAGACAGTATTTGGTCCTGCCATGAGGGCAGGGGACTGGACTCGATGACCTCTCGAGATCCCTTCTAGTCCTAGTATTCTATGATTCCAAGAAGGTGGAAGAGATGGACAGAAGTTTCTTCTTCTTATCTCATAGGTGCTGTAGAAGCCAGCTAACTAGTTCAGTGAGTCCCTGTGGTACAACGTATCTTAATGTGACCTCCAAGAGTTAGTTCTTCCATCAGAGCCACATTGAATATCCTTGCCAGCTATTCAGGAATTGTTGCAAATTTCAATCCTTTGGGAAATGTGCCCAGCAGGAGATGTCACTGAGAGATTGCTTGTAGAAGCCTGAGGCTTTTCATTCTGTATTCTATTAAACGTTCCGGGCAAAACTAGAATTATGTTTCTTGCTGGAAGCTGAACTCCAGGGTGGTTGTTACATATGTTATACAGATCTGGATGTCTTTATTTGCAGGCTCCAGAAACAAATGGACAAAAGATTTCTGAAGGCAGAAAAGCAAAGATTACGAGCTGAGAAGAAACAGCGCAAAGCTGAGGTCCGAGAGCTCAAAAAACAGTTAAAGCTGCACAGGAAGATTCACCTGTGGAACTCTGTCCATGCGCTGGAGATCACCGGCTCACCCGCTAGCAAATCAGAGAGCCCCCAGCTCAGTGCTGTCATGTAAGGAACGCTGGGACCTACTGCAGTACTTTGTGCATAACTGTTCTATTTCTCGATCCTGTGATGCAATGAAGTTAAAACGTTATGTAGAATTTTATGAAATAGAGAAAGGCTAAACCCTGGAGACTCACCATGACAGTGGAATTCCATGGAAGGTTTTCCCTAAGTGAGGATTGCAGGGTTTGGCGTTTCTCATTAGATGGGAGTCTTTCATGTAGAGAATTCCACTAGAGTTGTTCCATTGTTCTACTTCTGCATGTACAGGTTTAAAATATGCAATACCTCTGGTTTCTCATTCCCTTAAAATCATTGGGGTGTATTTTTTTCCACATGTGTCTGCATCCAGTTAACCTTAGTGAGAGCTATTTATGCTCATGGATTGTTTAATAGGTCCAATTGTGTTACCTGTTTACTAAGTAGGAAATGTTGCGGCCCCCCCCCCCCTTTTTTTAAGGAAAATAAATTTAAAGTGTTACCTGTTTACTAAGTAGGAGAAATGGGGGGCCCCCCCCCCCTTTTTTAAAGGACACTAAATTGAACTATAGTGCAGACCTGAAACTGTATTTAAATTTGCAAGCCTCCTACCAAGTTTTTGTGGGAGGGGGGGAAAAAATGTAAACCCATCTGTTGTGGAGAGTCCTTGCAGGGAAAATGATGAGGCTGACCAGATACTAGTGTTCTGATTCAACAAAGCATTTCAATGTGTGTTTAAGTGCTTTGCTGAATTGACTCCAAAGAACTGTCAATTGGAAGTAAACCAGCTTGGAATAAATTATTACATTTATATTAATCGTAGGTGCTATAATTATACTAGGGAGAACTTTCAGAATAGTGTCTTATTTTGAGCCCTGTAGCAAAGGAAGACACACTGCTTAGTGGTGGGATTTTAAAACGTAAGTCGAAGATATTTATTTAAAATGCTAGGGCTTTGGATCTGCCTTCCACAGACAGAGGAGGAGAATGACAACTGAAATAAGTCTGTCTGCTTCATTCAGTCAATTTCAGAGCAGCTTCTGTGCTTTGCTCTGTATTCAGGAGTCCTAGCCAGCCCTGTCCAACAATTGTCCCAACACTGAGCGCAGCATTTGTGGACGAGAATTTGCCTGATGGGACTCACCTACAACCAGGGACAAAGTTTATCAAGCACTGGCGGATGAAGAACACAGGCAACGTGGAGTGGAGCTCAGACACCAAGGTTCACCCCCTTTGCTATGACTGTGTTTACACTTGTAAATTACCTAAGTGAGTTCCAGGAGGTAAAAGCTTGTATGTGTTGGCTATGGACAGGGATTTTATTTCTGACTGCAGCCAAAGCAACACATGCCTCAGGTTCTGGCTAGTCTGTTCATAGAAGAAAAGTAGACCTCTTGTCCTGCTTAGGACTAGATGCCACAGGACTGCAAAAAGGGCTAAATGACCACTGTAACTTTGGATAGCTGTATTGAATTGGTGACTTGCATCAGTTTTTGCTTCTGTCACTCATACAAACATCTGACCACGGCATGCAGCCTCTTCCTTTCCTTAGCCTAGGCCAAAATTAAAATGGAAACCTCAATATTTTATCAGCCTTTGCCATGACTGTGACTTACAAAGGAAGACTGAAGGGTTCATTAGTAGGGTCCTCTGCTGAAAAAGCAGAGCTGATGTGGGTGGGTGTGGCGGGGGGTGGTTAGGCTGCTAATAAACAAGTTGGTTTTGTTTTTTATCCTTCAGTTAAAATTCATGTGGGGAAATCTGACCCTGGGGTCTTCTGAAAGAAAGGATGTGTTGGTGCCATCCCTGCCAGCAGGGCAAGTGGGGATTGTCTCGGTCGAGTTTATTGCGCCTGCTCTAGAAGGGAGCTATGCTTCTCATTGGCGGCTGTCACACAAGGGGGAGCAGTTTGGACCCAGAGTTTGGTGCAGTATCGTTGTGGATCCCTCTTCGCCAGCCACTGCCTGTTTGGAGAGAAATCAGAAGACATCTAATTCCAGTCTAAAGGATAAAACGTCCTGTGGAAATGAGGCAAGTGTTCCAAAGTGATATGACGGAAGAGAGAACAACCATGTCTGTTTCTGTTTGGTGCAGTGGTGTAGGTTGTTTTCCATCCTCCCCCAGTGTTGATCTAGTCAATGAGTGGGGATTGTTTCAGTTATTTCTCATTGTTTAAAAAAAAAAAGGCTTAACTTTGTTGCTATAACAATTGCTGACCTATTACTTGCTGATTTGCCAAACCTGGAGTTAATTGTTGAGGTGTATTGCAGCTGCTTTTTTGGCTTTCGTTGCAACTGAAACCTTGCAATACGTATCTCATGATATTTGCACCTGTCCAGAAGACTCTATAGTAGGTGGAATGAGGTCTTTTTCGTATTCATACTATCCTTCTGCATTAGGAATGTTAAATTGTGAGTAATTGATTAATTGAATAGTCGACATATTTTCTATCGACTATTTGATTGGTCGATAAGATGTCTTCGCCTTTGAAGTATAGCAACAGCCCTCGGGACTCGCCCAGTAACCCCAGGCTCTGAGCAGCGCTGCCGCTTTGAAATGCTGCAGAGAGCCCAGCGTCAGGCTCCTCGCAGCATTTCAAAGCGGCAGCACCACACAGAGCCTGGAGTCAGTGGGGGAGTCTCCAGCTGATCCTGGGTGCCGTGCAGCACTGCCACTTTGAAATGCTGCGTGCAGCTTGGGTACACCCCAGCTGGCCCTGGGATACACACGGTGTTTCAAAGCGGCAAGGTCACGTGGAGCCTGAGGTCTGGCCCTCGGCTCCATGTGGCACTGCTGCTTTGAAGTACCCTCCCTTCTTCCCTCCCTCCCCCCCTTTTGTTGCCTCTTTCTGATAGAGACAGCAAAAGGGCGGGGAGGGGGAGGGGAGCGACTAGTCAACTAGCCCAGTGTTTCTCAACCAGTGGTACGAGTACCCCTGGGGGTACTCAAGAGAAGTCTGGGGAGGTACATCAACACACCTGAAATTTGGAGAAAACTGAATTTTTGTTAAATGTTACAGTGCTTTATTATTTTTGGACTTTTTACACCCAAAATTTCATCGCCCACCTGGCTACGATTAAGTTGTTTAAACAAATGTGTTGCAATGGTAGAAAAAATATTTGTGTCTGAGAATTATAGGTCCTGGGGGTACTTATAACTTTTTTAAAGGGGTACTTTATAAAAAAAGGTTGAGAAACACTGGACTAGCCTGTCAACTATCCAATAAGCATTTGCTTATCGGATAGTTGACTAGTCCTTTGCATCCCTATTCTGCATAATATTCTGGCTTTGTAGCTATATAAATATATTCTTGAGCCTCTTGCAAATATCAGAGTGTTAATCTAAGATGCCTCTGGGATGTGTCTTCTGCCCTTGGCTTTTGCAGGCGGTTTCTTCAACGTCAGAAGCAGAAGGCCAGCAGGCTGATGAGATGGAGCAGACAGACGTGCAAGCCTTCCCTCTGAGGGTTAAAAATATCCCCAGCGAGAGAGAGTTTTACATCCCATCGGTTGATCTCCTGACTGCACAGGTAAAATACTAAATTAAAGGCAGAAAAAAAAGATCTTATCTTTGTTTTAGTAAAGTGAATAGATATTCACAGGGGTCACACGCCCCAGTTTTCTTGAACTATCAGATATTTTGAGTTCAAGAAAATACAGGTCAGAGCTTTCGTGATTTGAGTAAAATTGTTATTTCCCTGGAACAAGCAGTAGTGGGAGCATATTGTTCCTCCAATAGGAATGTCTCCCCTCTTGTTACCCCAGTAGAACTTATTTCACAGAGTTTTATGGACCCCTTTCCTCCTTTGCCTCTACTAAAGGGTATTTGTATGTGCATTGCTCCCACCGTATCGTCTCCCTCTTTCTAATCATTCACTGATTTTACAAACAAAGCTATTCTTCTGCATTGGACGTAAGAGTCCTAGTAGAGAGCAGCAGTTTGTCTGAACTGTTGAGGCCCCTGGAGAAGTGGAGTAGATTTATTTATAATAAATAAATGTGAGACCAGTAGGTTCTGGGGGAATAGGGGGGAATGGGTGTGGTGTAGGTCACAGGAATGGAAACAATCTGGGTTTTTCTCCTGTAGGACTTGCTGTCCTTTGAGCTGCTGGACATTAACATTGTGCAGGAGCTAGAGCGAGTGCCACACAATACTCCTGTTGGTAAGGAACATTTTAAATTCCAGTGCGTAGCATCGCCCCCCTCCTCCCTCTCTTTCCCCCCTCTAAGGAGAGCTAGAGAAAAGGAGTCTGCCTGTGGTCATGCAGAAGGCCGATTTCTCCCTTTGGGACTCCATGGTCTGTGGCACTGGAGAAGCGATTTGGCACTCGGCATGTGAGACTTTGCCCCTTGAGACATAGTAATGAGCTCTTGCTCCAGCCTCTTCTCAGCACTTCACTCAGCATTCCACTTGCTCTGGCTCAGGAGAAACCTTGAGGGCCCCTTGTGCTTTCACTTTTACTCCCTTTCTCACTCATCACCATGAACAAGGCGATGGACCTCGGGGAGGCTGCTCTTCTGTCCACCAAGCATCAGTAGGGTGTGCGAGATCAGCCTGTGTTTGAGGTGCTTTGCTATGACCCCCACAGGATATCTTCTGAGATGTTTGGTCCCTGTCGATCTGCAGCAAAGTAACCTGAGGGAGTGCTAAACTTGAAAATGGCTGATTGCTTGAAAGATTTTGCCTTTTGTTTAGCAGGAAGTTCACTCCTGTAATGCAGCTAAACTTGTTTGCCTCTCTTTTCCAGACATGACTCCGTGCATGTCTCCTCTGCCACATGAGAACCCTCTGCTAGAGAAACCTGGTCTGGGTCAGATAGAGGAGGAGAACGAGGGGAGTGGATTTAAACCAGTACCCGGTAAGCAGTCTCCAGGAACATCCCCACTTTCTCAAGGTTGCTAGCTGCTTAAAATCTCTTAAGTGGGAACCAGGAACCCACCTGTTGCCACCACCAAATGCAGCAGGGTGTATTTCCAGCTGCATTTGTGGCCACCTTTTTATTGCCTTAAATTGCAATTGTGGCCTGAAATGCTGCCAAAATGGTTCCTCCTTATTCAGCATTTCTGCTAGCTGAGTCTGAGTCCACACTACTTTACTTTAATGTTGTCAACAGCAGCTTGCTCCTGTTAACCCTTTCTATGGAGGCACAAACGAGAATGTCTGGCTCTAAGAAATCTACCATTGGCTAATCCACCCTGATTGCAGGATTGATGTGAATTTTCAATCCAGTGAGAAACAGCAGTTAGAAAATCCCTGGAACTGATCTAGAACGCAGAACCTCTCCCTTGCCACTATGCAAGAATGCTGCATTCTTTGTGGTCCACATTTTTCCTCAGGATTTTGCTTGCTCATATTTAAGTTTAAGGAAGTCAATTCTGGAATGCGTTTGCTGAGAAGCAGTAAAAGCATTTGGAAAGCCAGAGGGTTTCCTTGTGCGAGCCTCCGCCCTGGTCAGGCTGCCTTTCGCACAGTCCAGTGATGCATTCCTCTAGCTGTACTAGAATACCCTGGGGCAGTGGTTCCCAACCGTTTGGGGTTGCCGGGTGCCAGCGGGCGCGGGGCCCCCCTGAGCGGGGCCCCCCCCATAGCCGCATTCCCGGGGCCGGCACTGGCGCTCTCTCCCCCAAGCGCCGCGCGCCCAGGGCCGGCGCTGGCGCTCTCTTCCCCCCCATGCGCCACGGGGGTTCAATTCGCGGCGCCCTCGGGGCTGGCACTCACCGTGCGCCACGCGCCCGGGGCCGGCTCCGGCACCGCGCATGCGCCACATGCCCGGGGCTAAGCCAGCCCTGAGCACTTGGCGGGCGCCGAGAAATGCCCCCGCGGGCGCCATGGCGCCTGCGGGCACTGTGTTGGGGACCACGGCCCTGGGGTAATTGAAGCCTGCTGTCCTAACAGATGCTCACATGGTGAAAGTGAAGACTGACCATCCAGTGAACTTGGAAGAGGGGGAAGAAGACATGAGTGGGACTCAGTTTGTATGCGAAACGGTCATTCGTTCACTCACCCTGGATGCTGCACCTGACCACAAACCTCCTCAAAGGAAGAAATCACTGCAGAGTGAGTGCTCCCCTGAGCTGACCTCTGTGGCTTTATTTAATTTTGTGCCGCTGAACCTTGGTAATAAATCACCTTACCTTGAAGGTGGGGATGACATTCTAACTCTTTTGCCTGTTTTTTTTATTAGGCTCTCTGCAAACATTACAAGACACCCTCAGTTACAGTGTAAAAAGCGAAGAAACTCCTGGGACAAAAAGTCATTCTATTCCCAAACCCAAGGAAATGGGCTCAAAGAGCCATCTGACAGAGGAAAATAGGTTTGGTAAGTGAAATGGATTCTCAGGCCAGAATGGACTGCTGTAGTCATCTAGTCTAGCTTTCTTAACACAGACCATATGACTTCCCCCAAAATAATTCCTGTTTTGAATCCAAGCTGACTTTTTTGTTTGGTTGGTTGGCTTTTTTGTACATGGCATGTTTGAATGCGTGACTCTAAAGGCTGTGATAACTCTTTATCATGGGACCTATGATAAACTTTGAAGTACAATAGGAAGTCTGCGGAAGGGACTCGTTGCATTAGAAAATATGTATCTGTACTCTAACCAAGCAGTACTTGAAATGGTTTTCTTCTGCAAAATGGAATTGAACTGTATTGGGATAAGGAAAACTTGAAAGGGGAATTCTAGTTGGATAGTCATCTGGTGAAAGGCCTGGTTTTCAGTCTGTGTCCACGTTATGGCACATCTACACTAGCACTTATGTCGGAAAAACTTTTGTTGTTCATGAAGTGAAAAAAACCACACCTCTGAGCCACAAAATTTAATTGACAGAAGCAATCCTGCTGACCTAGCTTTCCCCTGGGCATAATAAAACCAGCTCATTGAGCAGTGATAGCTCTCTCCCATCAACGTAACACAGCTATACAAGTGATCTTACGTTGCTGTTGCTGTCGGTATGGCTGTGCCACCGTAAGCTTGTAAGTGTAGACATGCTCCCATCTTCTTGTGTGCACTGGGGCCACTTCTTGCTTTGTATTGACAAACTCTGGTCATCCGAAGACGTGGCCTGTGCCCACAAAGGCTCGTGATACCATCTATAAAGTGCTACCAGACCAGTTTTTGTTCTTTAAGTTTATCCTCTACAGACTAACTTTGGCTACCCCCTGAAGCTTTTGTATTGACAGTTGGTCATCTGCATATGGGTGTGTGCCTGTCCAAAGATTGACAATCAGGCTCAAATTCCTAAATCCTCATTGTAATTTAGTGTCTGTTAGTTACATTTTCTTACTAATATGACAGGTCCTTTTCTCACACCCTCTTGCTTTGTCCGTGGGCTAACGTGCACTCTTGAGATGTGTCCTCTGTCCCTGTGGAGGTCAGTTGCAAGCCCAATTGGATCTATGTGGTTGTGAGGTTTCAACTCCCTATTCTGGGGATGCCTTTCTAGCATAAGGTACTCCGAAGTTGTGCAGTTCCTCACCCCTGTGTAGGCACTGGATAAACTGCCTGATACACAGCTGGATCAAAACAAAATGCAAACCCACTCATTTCATGCCAAAGGTCATTTTCAGTACAAGGTCTGCTTCCCAGCCAATCAAAAGCCTACGCTATCACCACGTGCATGCCGGGGCAAAAAGCCTGTCGGGCGTTGGCACCAAAGATCCTGCAGTTGTTTCTGAGCTTCTGCCTGGTGTTTGGAGGCAGATGGTGCCTTTTTGCCCAGCTAGTCCTACAGACAAAATTCTAGTAGGCTGTTCTTTTCCTTCCATTAGAGAAACCTGCAGCGTCTGACAGCGCGAGTCTCAGTGGGGAGCCCAGCGACGCAGAGTATGAAGAAGATGATGTTAAAGACGAAGTTCAAAGCCAAGCATCCTCTGCTTCTTCCGAGGACTATATCATTATCCTCCCTGAATGCTTCGATACCAGCCGTCCTCTGGGGGAGAGCATGTATAGCTCTGCCCTCTCTCAGCCCAGTCTGGAAAGAGCAGTAGAGACTGAAAGGGAGACGGTGATTCCAGAAGTGAGCCAGCCCCAGTTCCATAATATCAATGATATCCTAACAATTTCACAGACGCTGGATGCAGTACCATTGACCCCAGAGATCGTCGGGATCCTGCCCCAACAGCAAAGGTAAGGCGGGTGAGAGTGCTTTTGTGACAAGAACCAAATGGCTAAAGATAGAAATTTGACGGGGGGGGAGGGGGGGCACCTGGCACTGAGCCAGGGTGCAAACTGAAAGTTACATTTGTGCTGTCGGAAAAGCATATGCAAGTGTGAATGTCTCGGATCCTGCTCTGTTAAGGAAGAATCTTCTGCACAGCTTGTATTGACTCCAGAACTGAGGTTTGCGGTGTTTGCTTCTGTTTCTTCTTGGTTTTATATATAAACTTGTTTGTTGTTGTTGTTGCAGGAACTCCTCTTCTCTTCAGAGTCATAGTCTCCAAAACCGAAATTGGCCAGTTACAGAGGAAGTACCTTCAGCTGTTCCTGATCAAATAAGAGAAGGTACTTGCAGCATGTGTGATAAATTCCATATGCAGCTGCTTCCTAACATGCACTGTTAACTACCTGAGCTACTCATCACCTCTTTATTGAGTTCTACACCATTTTATTTCTTTTAAAGTAGTGTCTAAAATCTGCTAGTTGCCATAACAGCAAAGGGAGATGCAGTTTTTCACCACACCCTTTTTGTTTGCCTTTTCTACTGTAAATGCTTTAGAAGTAAAATGTTATAGCAAACATGATCCTCTTACACACAGATGATCCCTTTCTGCTTTTCAGTTGATCCATCCAGCAGGGGTAAACTTCTTGGATTTGGAGAGATGCCAGAAGAAAGGGATTTGGAGAAGTTCTAGCTAATGTTGACCACAATCTTTTTAGTTGGCCGATGTTACTGGGGCAGAGGTGGGACTCCTAGATCTCGTTGGTCCTATGGAAATCAGTATATTTCAGTGGTGCTTTTTGAATGCAGAGAGTGCAGGGGAAAAAGGGCAGAGGGGGTGTATTTCTCCCTCCTTCCCGTCCCCTTCTTATTCCAGGAGTCTCAAATATTTGATAGTTGCAGTATCTGGCTTAGAGTATGGTGAACTGTCTGCCTACAAGCTTGTGATATGTGGTTACATTTACTCACTACTCACTCCAATCCACGTGCACAAGCTGCAGCTGTCTATCGTACCTGGTGACTGCACCCGCTCACTTGTTTTACTTCTAGAGCCCAGCGATGAAGACTTTCCTGGACCAGGAGCTTCAGGCGTTGTAAATAATAATAAATCAAAGTGCCCAGAAGACACAAGGTAATGGAAGCAGATCAAGTATCACAGTTATACCTTCAGAATTGACGCTATGCATTTTGGCCTCATCTCTTTGAATTAAAAATAGCAGCGAAGGCCACAGCACTCTTTATAGGGTCTCTCTAGGGTGTAGGGGCAGGTGGGAAGCCTGTCTTGGCGACATTCAAGATTTCAGCAATTCATGCTGAAGTCAATGGGGCCAGATAGTTAAGAGCTATGCTTTAAATCATGCTCCTAAATGAAGGAGCTAAAGTTGATGAGCACTTTGCAAAGCTAGCGACTTGCATGCTTCTGTTGAAACTAAGTCCTTCTGAAGCTTCAGTCTGTTGCTTCCAGGTTGCTCTGATTCTTGGGGAGGGGCAGAATTAAACGTAAGACACAGTGAGAATGCAACTAAATTATAAAGAAGATGCTTAGATTTAGATGCACAGTATAGTCATCTAAAACGAAAATGGCCTATCAGGCTTCTAGAATATCTGGTTACGTAGATGGGACCAATACAGACCAGAAATGATAATGGTAAATTGTATGTTCTGAGAGGTATTTAGCAGCAGCTACATACCCACACAACCCTGTAGAGCCATGGTGTCCAACCAATTCTGAAGCAGTAGCCACTATAGTAGCGAACTAGACACACTCAACTGGCCAAATAGCCACATGTGGCTAATAAGCTAGCATGTTGGACACCATGGCTGTAGAGCTCTGTGAGCAAGCAAATAGTTCCACTATAGAAAACCGATTAGTGAGTGTTGAATGTATGTAAGCTACAGGTGGGACCAAAACTGGGACTTCTGGTGCTTAGCGCTTGAGCCTCTACAGCTTAAGCTATAAAGCCAGCTGGTGCTCAGCTAAGTCTGTAGAGCAAACTCATTCTCTCCCTCTGTAAGTGGTCTAAGTGCCACTCCATGGAACAGTGAACCACATCCAGTACTCTTCCTAAACTTGAGTAAAACATGCAAATAGAATGCCTTGAAACAAATGAACTGACCTTCAGAAATAGCCTCTGAATGATTCCTTTGGCTAATACGTCATTTTCTTCAATGAGAAATGTTAGTCAGTTCTCTAAGATCTGTAAATAAAATACATACCTGACTTTATTGGCTTCAGATAACATCACACTTCTCCACAGACACCCCCAAGGAAGCAGCCTTGCAGGAGGGCTGGTTAAAGGAGCTTTGTCTGTTGCTGCTTCTGCCTACAAAGCACTGTTTGCTGGACAGTCCATTGCAGAACAGGTATGTGTACCCTGCTTGTCTGGGGCACTGTGTGGGCATTTTTAGAACTTTAATCCTTCCTTTAAATATTAATTATGGGAGTTGTTTGCCCTATAAAGGATTAATTCTCATTGTGAAACTCCTGTCATCTTACTCTTGGAATAGTCAAATATTAAACAGGTTTGGCAGTAACTGTTAACTGCAGAGTTAAGCACAGCTTCCCAGGCTATTTCAGGAAAGCCAAATACCTGACGGTTAATCGGGAGACGTTAGTGACCCCAGCAATCCATACAAAACAACTGGCATTTGTGGGCAACTAAATACCAAAGCAAACCCACAAAGTTGGATCATGTCAGGAGGGGGCTGGACTGTCAGAACTGACTCTGTGTAGTTATCATATTGACTCCCGTGTCTTGAAGATTATTCTGCAGTTTGATTAAGATGCAGAAATGAGGGATCGGTCATTTCTTTTGCCTGGAAAGGTTTATAGTTATGTGCTTCACTGGGTTAAAGTGAAGTTATTGGAGGAAGTGGCTTGGCTTTATGGTAGTGAAGCGATTGGACAGCTGGTGTCATCACATTTCAGTGGAATGTAACTTTCAGCCAACTGTGGGAGAATTGTTTCAACCACTCAGCCCAGAAAAATCAGTTGCCCTTTAGTGATTCATCTGGATCCTATTCATCCATGACTTCTTTTAGAGTGTCTGCAGACCCTTGTCTTTTTCTAGTGTAATAGTACTCTTCTCCTGCTTGGTTGAGTGTGCCTTTTGGGATTGGCTAATCATCTCCCCTTTATATCCACCACTAATAAATCTCAGTGGCTGTTTAGGTCTTTGTATATTTCAATATGGCTAAGAACTGCCAAGTCACCTCCCTAGTATAATCTGTTTCCATGTTGTCAGAAAAAGCAGTGCAACTGTAAAAGTTTGGAATAGACCTGTTAGAGTAGGTGCAGTTAGACGCCTACGCTGGCCTGACCAGCTGACTCGGACTGGCTATGGTACCCTCCCACCTCGCAGGGTTATAGAGCCCTGATATCATCACAGTTACGCAGCCTGAACCCCGCCAGCCCAAATCAGCTGGCATGGGTCAGCGAAGGGTTTTTAACTGCAGTGTAGACATACCTGTTACGGGCTATACGCAGTGAGCATATAATGGTTATTTTAATGAATAACTAAAGACCAAAGTTACTCATTTAAAATAATGATCTGTCCAAGGCCCAAGATTATTCTGGGATTTCTCCAGCAAATAACTTGCACTGACTTGTCCTGATAGCCTAGTAGCACTTAAAAAAAAAATCAGTTAAAAATCCAAAAACAGGTGTTTCCTGGAAGAGATCACTTTTTTTAAAAAAAATTTTTATATAAACTAGGGTCTGTCATTTGGTGCTTTTTATGAATCAGTAGCACTGCCTAGTTCTGGTGGATGTTTCAAGTTCCTCAACATGACTTCAGTTCTAACCCTTTCTGATTACAGATTATATAATTTTTTAATGTAGTGATGAAATATACAACCACATATAAAGGGTGGCTGCATCTGGTGTCTGCCCCAAAGCGTGTAGTTTGAGGGAAGATCCTCCTGCCGACTGTAGTAGGGTTGGACATGGTAACCTTGATTCATTTAAACATGGATTGATACTTCAATCCAAGTCCAAATGGCTAATGCACCAGCCAGCCCATGCACACCAATTCTTAATTGCTAAATGAAACCCTAAAAAGTGAGGTCACTTTAAATATCAAGACTGTAAACAAGTTCAGCTGCACATAAAGCGAAGATTAGCTTTCAGATTTTTTGTAAAAGGATCCTTAAGCTTTCTGCTTTGAGAGAGATGACTGTTTAGTCCTGTATTTGAATTTAAAGGGTTCTCTTTTCTTTAAGCAGCCAACAGCTACAGAAGAGCAGACTGCCACTCTCCTAGCCTATCTGTGTGAGATGGGATTCTGTGACAGGCAGTTAAACCTGAGACTGCTGAAGAAGCACAACTATAACACAGGGCACGTAGTTACTGAATTGCTTCAGATCAATAACAATGACTGGTACAGCAGCAGATATTGACTCCTGGTAGCCAAGGCACCCATATTTGACCAGACTGTTATTAAACACCGCAGCAGCAGACTACACCTAGGCTTCATTCTGTTCTCGGGTTGGGGGAAAGAATCACTTCAGTTCCATTTTTCTTCAATGCTTGATTTGTTCCTTCAACTGAAATCTCAAACACGCCACCCGCCTTTCAGCATTTGATGAATCAAAGACCAGAATTTTAACTTTATTTTAGACACTGGCTAGATAGTTGAATAACTTTTTAAATCTGATTTGATACTAAATCTCTTGTATCGGGGAGCTCAGCAGAATTATTTAAAACTTCTCCAAGACAAGTGAGAACTTCCTCTTTGACTGTGTAAGTTGGGATATTGTTTCACTGACCTCAGTCTGAATAAGCACTGAGAGGAGGGGTCAGACACGACTGTTAAATACAGTCTCACCTAATCTTCAAGATTAGCAGGATACCACTGGTGAGAGGAGTGTGTGTCTCATTTAAAAAAAACAAAAAACCTGACTTCTCTAATTCATGATAGAAGCACAAATAGATTAAAAATACACAGTAAGCACTCTTTTAAAAACAGGGGAAGTGCTCACATGAAAGTCATCTAAAAAGCCCCATGATTTAAAATGTATTTTAAAATATTGAAATAATAACCAATGTTAATTTAAATGTACTTAATGAAGGTCTGGAATTTCATTGTTTTAATTTCATTGTAGATAGAATGAAGCATGAGGATTAATTCACCAGCAGCTCTTGAACAGTGTCTCTAATGGTGATAGTACAAAAAGTATTTTCCTCAGCAAAGAAACAAAAGGTGTGTCAGCCTACATAAAATGTTTTCCTGAAAATGGAACTGTAGGAAAAGTCCACCTGTGAATCCTTAGGGACTTTTTGCAAAGGATGGAGGTTTGACTGCTGCTTGTTCAGAATCACTGCAGTGCAAACTTTGTTTCATTGATGATGATGAACTGAAGAATGCGATAGGTCAGGCCAATATGGGGGTGTGAATTCTTGTAATGTTTGGGAATGTGAGTGGGAGTGGGAGAGGTGGGATTTGGTTGACTTCTGGTTTTTAGAAAAGCATTAACTTTAGCAGCATTAACTCCCCAGTCTGCCTTGATGAATCACCTATTGGACTGCCATTTTGGCTTACATGCCATATTTGCAGGAGATGAAAATCTGAGGAAAATAATTCCCTTTGAAATCTGCCAGGGCTAGGGTTTGATTCTTGGGAACAGCAGAAAACCATCAGCATCCACTGCAGCGCGTCTTAGAACCCAGCCATCGATAGCAATGTCGGCGTCCTTGTGAACCTGTTGGGGCTTAAGTGAATGTTTTTTCCTTGCTACACCAAATCTCAGACCACTGACAGTATCTAAAATATATTAAACTTGGATCACTGCTGCTTCTAAGTAAGGTGTTGCTATTTTGACAGGATGTGGCTAAAGAGTCCAAAGCAGTATCAGTATTGTGATTGACTGACTATATAATAATCATTAGCCATACAGATATAAATTAGATTCTATTAAAAGTATTAGAAGAAAACGTATCCGATACAAGTTTGTTGTTTAAAATCTATTTTTATAGAAGATGCAAGATAACAAATTGTTGAACGTTTATTTTGAAATACAGGGAGACTATTTTGCAGTGTGTTTCCCCCACCCCAGTGCATTTGTCTTGTGTGGACCAATTCTAGATAATTCCTCACTTGATAAAACTACAATTTAATACTCTTCCATCAACTACAGCCCTTTCGCAGACTGGTCTGTAGTTTTGTAGATCAAGCTTACAGAAGTATGAAATGATAAGGATGAAGTTCAGTTGCTGGTGCATATCTTTCCTTGACCCAGATTTTCCAACACGAAAAAGGTTTTGTTCTTGATACATACCTTTCTACCGAAAGTGGGTTTTTTTAAAATCTTTCCATTTGAGCTCCTTTAATTGTTAAAAACTAAAAGATTTGCAAGTAACAAACTTCATTTGAGATTGAAATCCTCTTTTTAGTTTTTCCCCCTCCATAATGCTTGGGTTAGTTTTACTGTTATAACTCTAAACCATTGTCCTCGATCCTGATTGTTTTAGATAATGTATGCTTGGACTTAAGATATATTTCTGTTGGCTTTGTATATTTTGTTAATGGATGCATGATATAATTTATAATATATTCCATAGTGCAGATAAGGTATTTGTATATTATTTAGAATAAAGCACTTTAAAGTCTTCAAATGTGATGTAAAAACAATAAAAAATCTTTTTGCCTCAGTCCTTGTAATAAAATACTTAACTATTTGTTCATCAAGCTCTGGAAATGCAGTGACGCCATGTATGTGACAAGTACAGTTTTGATATTAGGAAGTAGTAGGATACCTACTTTTGTTTATTTTTCACTTAACTAGTGATTGACAATTCCACTATGCAGATGACTTATCAGGAAGAATGTTTATTTACAGTAGGTAGCAGGATGGAAGCAAGGAACTGTCTGAACAATTCCAGTTTTGGCACAGCTTTCGTGAGGGCTTTTGTGCAGTTCCTTTGACGTATGGGGGGAGAAATATATCAAGGTCAAACAGAGATCACTGATTAAACGGTCACTTAACAAATATCTACTATTATGACCTGCAGATGTAGCCTGAGCCAAACTTCTTGCTTCTAGCTATGTTTTAAGTAGACATCTTGGGTTCATTTCCTCATTGTTGTTGCTGTTCTGATATAAATGGTGGCTTGTTTGACTTTTATCCTAGATCTCTTGAGCCTGCAACCAGTGTTCAAAGGCATGCTGAGGGCCTGAACCATTCAAGAATGGGGACACACAGGCTATGTCATGGTTAAAACTTCCTAATGTTGCACAACTTGTGTACAGTAATTCCTCCTTTAACACTATAGATATTTCAGAAAATGATCGTGTTAAGTGAGAACATGTTATGCGGGGTCAATTTTCCCATTGAAAATAATGGAAAAGGTGGGGGTTGCGTTTCAAACAGTGGTGTCTGTTGGGACAAGGACACAAGGTTGGGGGAGAAAGGGGACTGGATTACAGCAGGGAATGGAGGTGTTTGGCTGTGGGGAAGGGGAGGAGAGGAGAGGGGGATTGGGCTGGGAGAATGCCCCTGTGACTGGTCTGTCGGGACCCACACTGCATCCGGCGAGGCGGGGGTTGCTGGGGAACGGCATGGCGAGCAGGAACCCCTCCACCGGTTTGCAGGGAGGAAGTTGCAACGGACCAGCTGGGGAAATCGTGTTATTCCAGGGATGGTTGTGTAATTCAAAAAAGTTCCCTTAAAAAAAAAAATTGTGCTATTAAAAAATGTTAGGTGGGCATGTGTTAAATGAGGAATTACTGTAATTCCAGAGCTGAAGGCAGTGCTGTTGAAAAACAATAAACTGGATGCTTTTAGCTAATTCTACCCTCTCCGATTCTCTACAGTAATAGTGCCGGATCTACACTGGGGCATTAAGTAAAAGTCTTGAGTACACAATGCTAAACATCACTGTAGTGAATGTGATTGTGGCTACAATATAACTGTAGCACTGCCTGCTGGACTATATTATAGGATGGAACCCTTCTGCTGACATACTCTGCCCTGTTTATGTAGCACTGACAGGTAAAATCCATTTGTATTGTCCCTTTTCACTTAATTACAGTTTCATCTTGCCTGAATCAGCCATCTTTCTCAGGTGCCATCAATTTTGTATGATGCTACGATCAGTGACATTTTTGTGCAGCCTGCTCAAAATTGGCAAGGGTTGATAATTTCACTATTAAATCATCATTAAAACTTCATAAAGGCCTCGATACAGAATTTATCTCTTTTCTGTTAAAGGGCACAGTTTGGTCACTAGGGGTGGGTGGACTGACAAGACCATAAGTTTGCTCTATGCCTGCACAAAACCACCCCCAGTATTGCTGAAGGAGTGCAGAAGAAACCGTGGCACACTTACCTGCTTCTGCTCCCCAGCACCAACCTCAGAAATGTATTTCCACTTCCGAAAAGCCCGCTTGGTACACTGGGAAGTGGATCACAAGTGCAAGGAAACTTCTGAAACCCTAGAGTGGGCTGAGAGAGGCTGTAGAGTTGCCCTGTTCAATTGCTGTGTGAATTCCCAGGGTGGGGATTGGATTCCAAAGGATGCTTAAATGCAGGGGCTAAGGGTGCTGGAGAAGAGGGGTGCTGACCTGCATGCTAGAGAAGGATTTTCCATTATAAACAGTTGGGGTGAATGGCTTTCAGCACCCTGACTGTCAACCAGTGGAACTCCCTGCCACGGGATGTTGTGATTCAGGCCAATACTGTATCAGGGTTCAAAAAAGAATGCCCTGTGTTCACAGAGGCTGGGGAGGAAAGCGAAGGGGCCGGGCCCGCGGTGGGTTTGTGGAACTCCCTGCCACGGGATGTTGTGATTCAGGCCAATACTGTATCAGGGTTCAAAAAAGAATGCCCTGTGTTCACAGAGGCTGGGGAGGAAAGCGAAGGGGCCGGGCCCGCGGTGGGTTTGTGCCGTGAACGCCCCGCCCGGGCACTGTTTGTTTCCTGGGGGGCGGGGCGGGGTCTGCACC